GACGCGGCGGCGGCAGCAGTCCTGGGCCCTGCGCCCGCGCACTACGAGAGCCGGCCCATGACGGCGCGGGCGTTCGTAGAGGGCGTCATGGCTCAGGCGCGGGAAGAGCAGCTGCAGCGGCTGTACGGGTGGGTGCGGTGGAGGGAGCACAGGGTTGAGCGGAGAGTCGAAGGAAAGGGCGCGCTCTGTCTGTCTATCCCTCTATATGCCAGCATGGCCCGGTCTTACCTGCCTGTTCGAGCTGCCCACCCGTCCTATAGCTATGGCTGTAGCATTTCAGCTTTTCCTGAGGCCTCTACTCTGGCCAGTAGACAGTACCAGTTGGATTTCCTTACGGCGCGCACTCTGATACGATACACCCTTCCAACCACGAATTATGTGCACGTGGCGCCCTTAGTGCTCGCTCTGCTGCTATACTTGTGCTACTTCGCACGCCAACCATGCTGCATAGTGCCGATTTATTTAAGAACCGCCAAGGGCCCCTTAACTATTGCGAGTTCCCTTAACCGGAGCTCCCCCTTTAATCCCGGGACCCCTGGGTGCCCGTAGTGCCTCACATCCCTTTCGACCTCCGTCCTTACCCCCCCCCCGTGTGATGCCACTTCCTGCTACGTCGTGACCAGGTCCGAGGGGACAATGCCCCGTGGCGGATTGCCGGAGGTAGAAGGCATTGCCCGCATGGACGAGCATGAGGCCGCCGTACTTACGGAGCGCATTCTGGAGCTTGCAGGGCCCCATCACGAGCCGGTCACTGCGCTGGAAGCTCTGATGCAGGAGCGCAAGGAGGAGGCGGAGGCGGCCAACGCGGCGGCCAAGAGCGCCGTCATGGGCGCGGTGTCGGCTGCTGCAGCCGCGGCAGCGGGGACGCCGCTGTTGCGAAACTTGCCACCGACGCCGTCATCGCCACAGCGGCAGCAGCAGCAGCAGCTGCAGACGGGGTTAGGGCTGCTGGCGCCGACCCCCGCGGGACCAGCAGGCGCGGCGCTGAAGCGTCGCGGCAGAGGGGTGGCGTCGGCACGGCAGCCGAAGCAGCGCTCGCCTTTACGGCAGATGCTCGAGATGGCGGCCCCAGGTCGCCTGTCTGCGGGTGTGACAGGCACGCGGTTGTCGACACTGCCACCCATGGCTGGGACTGCCGGAGATGGCCCTCTGGCCGCGAGCAGCGCCCACCTGGGTTACTACCCTGGCCTACAGGTAGAGTTCCTGAGCTCTTGTAGAACCCATGGGTCCATCCTGTCAGGGGAGTGAGTATCGATTCGGTGACGGGAGAACGTATGTTAGGGGATGCATAAAGAGAGAGCACGGGGCGCTGCCACCCGAGAGGATGCGGGGACGCTGCACACAGCGGGAAACTCAGTGCTCGGCATGACATATTCCTTGTTTGATGTTGTTGACCGGCGTCCTTCGCCTCGCCCGTCCAAGTCCGGATTGTCACGGCGTTACACTTGCGCGCTAGCTAACCCCGCCGGCGCCCCGCTCTCACAGGTTGACGCCGCCGGCCGCGTCGTGGACTGGCGGCTACCGGTGCTGGCGCCGTATGCGCCCAACCAACATGCCCTGCACCGAAGCACACCTGCGGCCCAAAGGAAACAACAACAACAGCAACAACAGCAACAGCAGCAACAGCAGCAACAGCAGCAACAGCAGCAACAGCAGCAACAGCAGCAACAGCAGCAACAGCAACAACAGCAACAACAGCAACAACAGCAACAACAGCAACAACAGCAGCAACAGCAGCAACAGGAGCTGTCGTAAGTCTGGTGTGTGGCGGCTGTGCGGCTGCGCCTGTTACGGTGATGCCGAGCAAACGCTTGTGCAGCGCAGCGTCGTGGTTGTACTGGCAGCCGCTGGCGATGATGGTGACGATGGCAATGTGAGGCGGCGAAGGCGATCCAAAGTGGAGATGTTGCACCGAACCTGCTGCACGCTTTGCGACTGGCACATCGGGGCTGTGTGCGCCATTTAATTGGCGTAGCTGACCCTGGGCTTGATGGCGGGAGTTTAACGTAAAATGGTGTGTTTTGTCGTACTTGGTGTCCCATGATGTGCATGGTGACGGCAAATAAGCATGCGGTCATGATGATCGGAGGTTAAGATCTATGTGGTAATGGTCTGTGCCCAGGAGCTGTACTGCACCGGCCGCGTTTCGCACTTCGTGAACCCGCTGACTTATACGCAATATCTATGCAGCTATCGAAGTACCGCACATTTCCCGCATATATAATCATGTTTAGGACGGCCGCTTGTGCCTTCCAATACGTGTATACAAACATAAACGTCTTTGTCCAACGACCATTCCTACCACTTCTATTACTATGGATGTGATCGCGTGCATACATGTCGACTGGGTGCAATAGAAGGGGACATTTGGGCGCCATGCCCTGGCCGACTGCATGCCGTACGACATGCAAAAACGGCGGGAAGCACGGGGGAGTTCGACGCATGGCAGTGCCTGGAGTATCACGGACTGCTTAGAGCCCTACGTTCGATTCTTAGGCCGGCTGGTCCCACTCCCGGCGTGCAGTTGAATACAGCAGGGTTGGCTCGTGGCTGGTGATGGCCCTGATGCGACATGTGGTGAGCCGTGTGCTAGTTAGCCGTACACTGCTGTACTTGAGTCGTGCAGGAGCAATATTGACTATGCAGTGCAGGCTGTGTTGCAGATCGGTTCCTACTCGTCGCTTCCAAACTGCATTTTAATGTACAGCAGTGCACTATTTTTTCACTAGGGTTTACTGCAGGGCATGGCATAGATGCATTGCAGATTTTAATTGTGCGGCACGGGCATTGTTTGTTGTGTTTTTTTTTGCGATATCGCGCTGGCTAACGTGGGGGCACTGCTTAATGTCATTTAGGTGAGAATTCATTTTGGGGATGCAGCGGGGGCATTCGAGGAGATTGAGTCACTTCTCGGGGCAAGTTTTTGAGGGGATGTGTTGATGGTCTTTTTGGGACCATGGCGGCCAACTGTTGAGTGGGGATATTGGAAAAGGATCTCTCAAGTTGTACCTGCTTTGCCCTGCGTTGTAACAGCGGGGTCGCTTATCATGTGCGGCGACGGACGGTGAATGTAGGTAGGTACGGTTGATAGCGTATTCCTATGCGCTTGGTCCGTTTTGCTTCCCTCTTGCAGCCATGGCTTCCCGAATTAACCTCGCAATGGCAACACTGCTCGTACAGGGATCCCGTTACTGGGAATCCGAAGGGACCACCGGTGCAGGACCATCGTTCTCTCCAGTCTCCACACTATGTGGGAGCCGAAGACAGGCCGCGGAAAGCTGACCACCGACCGGAGCCACGCCTCTGGCCGTCTGGATTATCCAGCCGACGTGGGATGTGTGGCTGGTCGACCAGCGTTTTCTCTTCAAGCAATCCGCGTTGCCGTGAGCGGGTAGTTCTAGCCTCCCCTTGTTCTAGCCGTTCTGCTTTGCAGCGGGAGGAGGAAGCGTCGTGGGTCACAGCTTGCATGCGGTTTCTACTGGTTCTGTGCATGTATCGGTGCTGTACCGATGCAGTAGTTGGGGGAGACGGTAGGTTGCTGAGGTAATGACGGGCGTTGGTCTCCAGCGGCCTCGCGGCGAGGCGTGACCAATGTCAGGATATCCGAATATGGCACATGAATCGAAAACACCTTTTCCGTGATCTTTTTATGTTATAAGTTACAAATTTCAAGTTCCGCACAGGAAATCGTGTTATTTATGGCCATTATTGCTTTTCTACTTTCCTACTTGTGCATACGCATCCGATTCCGCACCCTTAACACCCCAAGACCTGTGAAGGGCTCATAGCCCACGTCCCTCGCGGACGTCTCAGGAGCTTCTGCTCTGACGCGCAGCGCTGAAGGAGTTGCTACTCATGGCGTGCAAGTGAAAAATGATTAGGAGGATCAAGGTATGCTCAGTATTTGGTACGACCTAGCGCGATGCGTGACCTCATGTGATTCCGCTCCCCCCAAGCATGACAAGGAGCCTTACAAGCCAGGTCCCAGCAGTGGGTCCTGCCATACGCCCTGCTGGATGTTGCAATCCCAGCCCCTGTTTGCCAACTTTTTGATACCTCACATTAGATGAAACTTTAGGAAAGGTCCTTGGAACCCTGGTCGTAGTTCAACCCGAGGCAATACTACTTAGGGCACAGTGAGGTCCAGCTGGTGCAGGCAGCCAGTGGCAGCCAGCAGTCAGGGTAACCGAAATCGAGCAGGTCGCAGCTTTGAGGAACCCCGGACCGTCCCGGAGGTAGATGCAAGGGACAGAGATGCAGGGTTCTGCGGAATATGGCTAAACCCTATGGCACCGGCGATCCACTATCTGTTGATGCTGCTTAGAGGGGAGCGCGAATAGCGTTGCAACCCACGTGCATTGGCTAGGGGCGAAAGTCGGGGAAAGAACGGGCGACTGCAGCCTGCCGGTTACCTTTATCTTCTGGCCGGAGGACCATAAATATGTATTTATGGTTTCGTAGTGTGAAAGCCGTTGTTTCAGATTACGTATATCAATCGCCTTGCCTGTCGCAGGTTAAAACAATTTTTGTGTTTCGGCTTACTCATAAAGTAGGTCTTCCTGCAGAAACCTTTTCAAGAGCTTGAGGGTTTCTTAGGAGAGGTTAGAGTCTACGTAGTACCTCCATCCACTTTAACATGCCCCTCATCTCATTACCCCGCGGCCATGTGGACCTCGTGACGACGTACGAGCAAGCATTCTTTTGGAAAGTTGCATACACAGATTGAGGTTTTGCTTTTTGACATGGGTGGATTTTTATTATGAAGCAAAGTGACGTCACAGAGGAAGCCCTAACACGCGCCGCCTGCTCACTAATACCTATGGGAGCGCACAGGGGCTTTCCTTATTAACTTTCCTAAAGATGCACGAATTATCGTTCAGGCCACTACGAGGCTCTTGGAAGACCTTGCCTGTGTAGCGAGTCTGTTTTAGGCCACTGTACAGTCAGATACACACCCAGGCGCTGTGGCATAGGGTGCAGTTGTCACTGAACACAGACTGATGGCCCACAGTAGTTTAGGATTGCTGGCGGGTGGTTCAGACCTCAAACAACGCCTCTCAAAGGCCTTGCTTGACGTCTCAGGGACGCTCGCTTCTGTGAAGAGCGGAGCCTTAGTGCAGGTAGGCTTTCTTATCCTGGGAGGGCTGATTAGTTGGCTACCGCTGCCGACGGTTTGTTTGTTGTGACTTTGCGACTGTCATGTACCACTAGAGGATGACTTTGGGGTGTGGAACTGGCTATGCAATCAGAGATTCTCCACTTATGTTGTCCTTGCACGGCCTGTCGGCAGATGCTGGAGTGCGCTTGTTCGTAATATAAAGTCCGTCGCCTTTCATGGTTGCTAGGCACATCCTCTTGACCAAAGGGTTGAAATTATGGCAGTGGCAGTGCTTTATTGCTCAAGATTGATCCCCTTTGCAGTGACATAACTTGCAAATCGTAGTACGCGGCAGCTGCAGCCCAACTTTGTACGCACCGTCATGTCATAACTCGTGTCACCTTGGCAGGTGTGGATGCCGGAACATACTCATGACGGCACCATCGTCCTCAGCTGTCAGGTGCGCAAGGGGTCAAGGACTGTTGGGCTGCGCGCGTTGCTTCATTGCAATGCATAGACAGATATGCACGCGATGGAAGAAGGGGTGTTACGAAGCCACACTGCTGCGTTCATCTCCCGTCACATGCGTGAGAGTACCCGTATAGGTGCCCACATGCCCAGCTTTCTGGTTACCACACGTCAGCCCCCCGTGAGTAAGTCAGCAACTTCGGGCCTGTGGCATCCTCCTTTCGCAGGGTCTTCCTTTTGCTGTTGCCGGCGTCGGCGACCTCTTGGCTCTGTTCCGCTGCGTCTCAGTGCGGTACCGGTTCTCAACCGACGTAATGAAGCCCACCCTTATGGGCGCCATCGGCCGGGTGTACTCCACCCTGGAGGTGCGCAGCCTAATAGCTTGGACGGGGGGTACCACTTGGCCGCGCTAACCAGCAACACATGCTCAGACTGGGGAACGGTGCTGTTCCTTGATCCTTAGCTAGTGATCCTGGGTTGATAAGGGACTCAGGGGTCCTCCTCCGGCGTCCCGGAGAGATCAGGGACTCTCTATCAGGGGATTTCCTCTTCATGGGTCCTTTGTCAAGATTTACAGCAGTGATGGTGAGAGGGCATATTCCACCAGAGCAGGATGAATTATTTGCGGGGCGCTTTCCAGCCTTTGGGTTACGCTCTTCCGTGTGTTCGTTTCTCCGACCCTGGCGCCCTCCCCCGTCCATTTTTCTTTTCCATGCAGCCCGAAATGTCCCACAATGTACAGAAGTACGATAAGCAGGTCTACCTACGGGTCAGCGAAGCGCAGCGATGCCGGGTGCACTCTACGCTCATGGTCCCCGTATTTGGGTCGGACTCGCGCGACACTCCTTTGGCCGTGTTCGAGCTTGTCCAGGGCGACAAGGACGTCACGTTTCCAGCGGTGCTGTCTCACCTGACTGCATCTCTCCAGGTAAGCAGCCGTCGCGACAGGAGGGAGGCGCAGCAGGAAACTCTCAGTAGGTCGCGAATGAACCATGACTGACTCCATTGATCCACTTAACCCGCCGTCGCGATACCGATTTGGTTTGTCGGAACCAATAAACCGGGACGAGCATATCCGATCTGGGTCGGGCTTGACGCCGTCGAGCAAGCGAAGGGCATGCTCTGTGACTGCATCCCCTGCCCGGGTAGCTTGGTTTCCATCTCTCTGCCTATCCGACCTTGTGCCAATGTCGTAGAACGTGCACCTGTTCACAACGGATCTGGAGACGGCGGCCATCGCCGCGGGCCTGCGGAAATGGCCTATGCACATCGACATGATGCCCTCTGCCGAGCACGACAGTGCGGGCGTGGGGCGGCTGTCACCTAGCCGCGACGAGCCGCGGCTCATGAGCAACTTTCAGAATATGCAAGCGGGTGCGGAGGAGAAGGAGCAGGCGGCATCGTCGAACGTTGTCTCAACAGGTGTGAATGGACGGATCATGATTGTCTTTGGCACCTTCCGCTTTGGATGCGTGCCAGAGTGGTTGTTTTCATGGTATGGTTTGACGGTATGGTGTGGCTTACTGCGTTTTGTTGTTGTGTAGTCCCGCATGCATGCATGCATTTCGCTCGTCGGGTGCGGCTTCCAAGAGCGGCCTATCTGTGTCTACAGTTCATGACTGCTGTATTCGCGCGTCTGCATATCTGCCCTATTTATCCTCTTGTGCAGCAGAGGAAAAGCAGTCTCCGAACGCTTCAAAAGGCGACGAGGCGGGGAGCAGGGCTTGCGAGTGGACCTCCCAGAGCGGCGCTGCCCGGTAGGCTATCGGCTGCTTGGCTTGGCTTGGTTGCATGAATATAGCCGCGCACGGAGAAATTGCATTCCTCCTGTCGCGTTGCATGTGTACCTCCCGCTTAATGTGCCCTACACGTATTCACTGACCTGCACCGGCCTCCGTACCTCTGGTCCGTTCGGCAGGTTGTCAGTTGGGAACCCTATAGGGCAAACGTGCCCTGCAGGGCAGGCCCCAAGCAGCGGGCTGATGGCGACCTCGGGTTCAGGGGCCTCGAGATTGATGGCTGGGCCAGCGCCGGCGGCGCCGGCAACTATGGGGCCTACACTCGGGATCTGCTCGAACAGCGGCGCCGCTGTCGGAAAGCCGGAGGCAGTTGCCGCTCAGGGCTTTGAGGTGTCAACAGCTGACGGCGTTGGCGCCCGACGGCAGTCCGGCACGGGCCCCATGGAAGCCAGCAACGCGCAGCAATTTATGTCCTGGCTCGCGCAGCAGAACGCGACCGGGAACAATGCATTGGGCCAGTTGCGCACGTTACTCGAGCAGCAGCAGCAGCGCAGCAAGGCGGAGCAGTCTGGAGGGAATTTGCTTGGGCAGCAAACGGCTAGCGGAACACAGCCGCAGTCCATGGATGCCCTGGCAGCGTCTATGGGGGCCTCGCTTGGCATGGTGCCGCCAAACATGGCGGCGTCGCCGACCAAAGGCTCCGTTATGCAGCAACACGCTGCATTTGACATGGCTGCTGCGACCGCCGCGACCACGGCAGCCGCCACGACGACGACAACATCCGATAAGCAGGGCAACAAGCTGACGCGTAGCGGCTCCGTCCAACGCACGCTGGGTGCCGCGGCGGATGCTGATGACGGAGACGGCGAGGACATCAGCAGCGGCGGCGAGGACGACGATTCCGACGATGAGCGACCAGGGGGCCACCGCAACAACAACCGTGTTGGCGGAGGCGCTGGCAAGCGCCTCCGCTTCGAGGACTTGCAGGCCCAGTTTGGATTGGGCCTTAAGGAGGCTGCAAACAACCTGGGGATTTGCGCAACCACGCTGAAACGCGCGTGCCGGCGCAACGGGATCAAGCGTTGGCCACGACGGCAGATCGCCAAACTGAGCAAAGCACTCAACCAGATGGGTTATAACGGTGCGCCGCCGCCGGGGCTAGTGCAAAACGCGGTGGTATCCGCCGGCGCGTCGTCTGGGCAGGCAGCCGTCAAGCCTAAGCCAGCGAAGAAGCCGGATGCCGCGGCGTTGCAGCAGGCGACCCAGCTGCTGTTCCAGCACCAGCTCGGCGCAGCAGCAGCAGCCGCGGCAGCCGCCGGCGGGGGCGGCATGTTTACAAACTTGTCCACGGCGGGTATGGTGGTGGGCGGGCAGCTCCAAGGTATCCCACAAGGGCTCCACGGCATGTACGGCGTTGCGGGCCAGCCCGCCCAACAGCAGCACCAGCCGCCCCCACAGCAAGCGGGCATGTTCTCGGGCCCATTTATGGGGCCTATGGGAGCAATCATGGCTCAGCACGGTGGCAATGTACCGTCTGGCGTGTTGGGCCAGGGTCCTCAGGCTCTGCTGGGTGCAATGGGCGGTATTGGCGGTGGGTTGGGCGCTGCCATTCAGATGCCGGTCATGGGATCGTTGGGTGGCCTGCAGGGGAGCGCGATGGGCCCCATGCAGACAGCGGCGCTAGGGTTGCAGCTGCAAGGCGCCGGTGGGTTGCAGCTCCAAGGTGCGGGCTCGACGGGAATGCCCGTGCATGGTCACACGGGCATGTTACACCCATTGCTCGCCGGGGGGAGTTTTAACATGCACCAAGCCCTGCAGCAGCAACAGCAATTCCAGCAGCAGCTACAGGCGGCCCACCATCAGCAGCAGCAACAGCAGCAGACCTCAAGCTTGCTGCAGCAGCAGCATGCGGTCTTGCAGCAGCAGATGCAGATTCAGCAGCAAGTGCAGCAGCAGCAGCAGCAACAACAACAACAGCAACAGCAGCTTGGGCCCGTGGCATTGCAGCAGATGGGCAAGCCTGATGCGGTGAGTTGGCTGGTGCAGGCACAGGCGCAGGCAGCACCGCAGGCGTCCTTGGCAGCCAACGGCATGACGACGGCCAGCTCTGCGATGGACATTAGCGCGCCGCGTATTTCCTGTGGTGAAGCGCATTCACCCTTCAGCGCACTGGGCATGTCGCCGGCAATGAGCGGGGGCAACACCGAGCTGTGTGGACTTGCCGAGATACCTGAGGACTTCATACAGAATTTGAACAGCGGAGGAGTCAGCCAGTTTGGGCAGCTGCTCAAAAGCGGCACACTAGGGGTTGGTACCATGGAGCTGATGGACCTTTTGGGGGATGACATTGCCGCGCGGTAGAGGGTGCGGTCTAAGGGCTGCAGCGTGGCCAGTTGCAACCTCATGAACTCGCTTCGCGGACTAATCCGGCATGCTCGCATGTTTACAGCGCGGAAATGTTACGTCTGGATTGGCTATATGGTTCCAATGGAGTGGATTTCCAAGATTGACCGACGCAGGAACGCTTTTATCGCGTGTGGGATGCTTGTTCGTTATGTGTTGATATATTGCGGGTATGAAGACCCCTCGTTCACCTTAACACCAGGGGCATGATGGCGGCTGCTGCCATCATCCTGACTGGAATAAGAATAACTACGGTCCCTTGTGTATCAGTTGCTGCCTGGACTTGCTGGACGTGACGAGCGCTTTGACGTTGTTGCCTTGTGGGTTTTGTGGGCGTGACGGAATTGACTGAGTGACGTGATGGTACGTCCTTTGTACGGCCCACGGCCATCTGCCATCAGGATTATTCGCGAGATGGAGAGGTAAGTGCGAGATGGGATTGTTAGGGTCACGCAGATCACACGCAGGGATTGAGTGTATGTCGACGGCGTGCGACACTCGGGTTGTGGGCTTTGTACGGTTGCGGCGGAAGTGGTGCCACCTCGCCGTCGATGATTTTCTGCTGCTACCCTAAATGTGTGTGGATGCTTTTGTACATCAAGTTCTGAGGGCGGTTTTGTCGTTATCTTGGCGACATTCGGGCTATGCTCTTGGTCGCCGTGGGCAGGCGCATTAGCATTACCATTCGGCGCGGGACATTGACTTGGCTGCATGCGGCCTTGAATTACCCCAACATGCTCGCGGCGGTTGTGTTTTGGCGGGACGCTGGAAAACAACGAGCGGAAGAAGGGGCTGCCTTGAGTTCGAGAAGCGCACTTGCGACAACCTCCCACTGTCATCAGGAGGGAGGAAATACTTATGCAGCGTCGGGCACCAAAGCGCAACCTGCTGGGTCATATGTGGATTGGGCGCAGGGTGACTAGGTAGCACGGCGCTTTCGGGCTGCTTTGCCTGCCATACCTTGGTGCGGGCAGGGCACTGACTTGGGCTGGACCCCCTAGGGACTTACGGAGATCGACCACGCATGTGCTGTGTGTGAATTCCGTCGTTTGTTGCGTTGGCTGCTGCTGCGGGCAGTCACATGCAAACGAATAGCTGCAGGGCATCTGATGTCTGAACGCATTGGGTGCATATGTGCAGAAGGTGAAGATCGCTTCTAAATATTGCATATTTGCGTTTTTCCGTCTTGTACCCCCGTGTGTTGTCCTTCCACATCCTGCCTACCCGGTTCACGTTTACTTCTGGCACGTCGGGTATCCACGGTGCGACAGGGGGGCGTCCTGAGTGTAGGCCATCACTTGTGATGGATGTGCCTGGGCAAAAAACCTCCTGTTGATGTCATATACACCGGTACGTGTGGGCGGATGTTGCAGATATATGCGGCGGCAGGCGCCGGTGCTGGATGCCCCGTAAGAAGTGAGACGCGCTCTGTCCGTTATGGTACGACTGGAGTTCTTTTCAGCGTGGATTGGGGCAAACTACTGCTCTTGTGGCTGCTTTTTATGGACGTTATATGAACGCATGATGGCCGTGACTAAGATATCCTACCTTTCTGCGTGTGGTCGCTGGAGGGATGTATTCTGCTGGTTATTGGGGCAGGCAAGATGCTTGACGAGCTCCCTGCTAAGGTTGCGGAGGGTGCAAATGCATGTATTATGGTGGGGGATGGGTCGCTGGACAGCTCACGCACGCGCAGTGTAATTTAGTGTTTGCATGTCTGGAACATGGAATGAAGCGGGGTAAGTGTGGGAGTTGTCGAGCGCCTGACCAGTATGCTAAGTGATAATATTGGGGTATTGCTCAGGTGCAAGGGCAGTGCGGCACTGCCCTTGCAATTATGCAAGGGCTTGTATCCGTCCAAATTTTTTAATTGGGGCGCCCTTGATTGCGACCTTGTGGCTTACTTGCACAATCTTGCTTGAACCCTGCCGGTGTATGGGAGTGGGGATTCAGCCATTGTCGTTTAAAGATTATGTATTATTCCGTTTGCCTCGTGCCACGCGGGGTGCAGATCAACACCCCAAGTTTGGATATTGCGTCCTGAAAGAACCCTACCACAAAAGGATTCTCCTCTGCCTGAAACGGCGCGTTTTTAATATACCTTAAAAAATCATTAACGCGCGCGTAAGTGTTGCCAAGAGAGTCGATTAATAAGAATGTACGTTTGTAAATCCATCAGCGCAGATGCGACGCCCAAAGCCTAACATCAATCGAAGTGGAACATTCGTTGTAACTAGATATGTGTAATTCACTTGTACAGCACCAATAAATTGAAAGCTTGGCCCATGTACGACTTCTATCCTACTAGCCGGTTTTTTTTCTCAAGCTAGGGTCTGGGGCAAAAGTAGTTTGAAGCAAAATGCCGTGTAATTAGCCCGTTGCTACCTGTTGTAAATTTGACGCAGTGCATTCCTGACCCTTAGAGACGGGGGATCAGTTGTTGCATCATAAACCAGTGCTTATTGTAACATTTTGCTTGCTCATCCGTAATCCGGCTGTTTCACGGTTTGCCTTGAGTTAGCGCTATACCCCGGGGTCACTTGGGCACCGTCAGACACACTGAAGCAGGAATATCCAACTCTTATATATAGCATGAAGCCCTGAATAGAGCTGTCAATATACAAGTGAATCGTTTAGTCAGCCTTTTGGCGGACGTGGGGCTGGCATGCGGCCAGTGCAGAACGCTATGTTGCCAACATGACCAGAGGCGCTCCCTTCCTACCTTAAATGACCTAAGATGGCTGGCAGACAGTCTTTTAGCGGGCAGGCTGCACCGCTTGGACAGGCCGTTATGGGCCTGACGAGCCGGTCCTGTGGGCGTTCGCTCCTGGATGCTGTCCGGAATAACTCCGTGGAGGCTGTCCAAGATATACTTGGTAGCGGCTGTGACGACATCAATCAATGTGATAACCAGGTGGGTGAAGTACCTACCGTTAGTGAAGCTGCCTGCTAGAGTGCATAACTTACGTTGAAAGACGCAGCTTACTGGGAATAACGAAAGCTGCATATTACGTTGGTTGAATTGTCCTTTTCAAGCCAGCCCTTTGGTGCCTGCGCTCGCCTCGACGGCGGTTTCCCGTCGGGACGGCCAGCCGGAACTCGACCGGAAGCCCCGATTCAAATGCATGCATCATGCGCATCTTGTTCCCGCCCCAGAAACCTGAATTTTAGGAAATCGGTGATCGCTTTGCTCCCTCGCCCGGTACGCACTAAAGCCTCCACTTGTGTCCCTGCCCGCAGCAAAACTCGCCGCTCATCCTTGCCGCCTCCAAAGGTAGCGTCGCGCTCGTGAGGCTGTTGCTCGGCGCCGGTGCCGACGCGAGCCGCCAGAACTCCTCGGGCCACACAGCGCTAACTCGTGCGTGCGCGGCGGGCAAGGTGGAGGTTGTGCAGCTGTTGCTGCAGGCACCCAACGCACAGACACACCTCCATCTGCAGGACAACCACGGCAACACAGCGCTGCTTTGGTGCGCACGCACCGGCAACGCGCAGCTCTGCAGGCTACTCATAGATGCCGGTGCGAATGTCAACCAGGCCGACACAGGTGGTCGCACGCCCATCTTCCACGCCTGCGTCGCTAACTCCCTGCCCGTTGCGGAGCAGCTCATCGCCGCGGGTGCAGACCTTGGCGTCCGCGATACCGTGGGCAAATGTGCATTTGACTATGCACAGAATCCGGAGATGCGCACGCTGCTCCTCAGCTCCGGCTCCTTCCCAGAGGGCAGCCGGCGAACAAGCTTCAACATCGGCGGCGCTGGGACGGTGCCCGTGTCGCCCGTCGGCAGCGTGTCCATGGCCATCCCGCCCGCGCCGCCGGGCGCGGCATCCGTGGGAAGCGTTGGCCCCTCCCCATCCCCACAGGTCACCATGCGAAGCCGTGTGAGCAGCTCCCGTCCATCGGCGGCATACCACGCGCTAACGGGTGCCGTACAGGCGGGCAATGAGGCGGCGGTGGCGGCCATGCTGGCGGCGCCGGGCTCCGAGGCGCTGATGGCGCAGCGCGATATGCTGCACAACAGCGTGCTGCACGTGGCGGCATCGCGGGGGCTTTTGCCCATCATGGTCAAGCTTCTGGAGCTAGCGCGGCAGCAGCACGTAGACATTGACGAGCCGAACATTGACGGGCACACGGCGCTGTACCTCGCCTGCCGTGGCGGGCATCGCGCGGTGGTTCAAGTCCTGCTGGGAGCTGGCGCGTTGCCAAATGTGGCGTCGCGGGAGGCCTCCACGCCACTGCACGCGTGCGCGGCTGGAGGACATGCCGACATTGTACGGCTGCTGCTGGACCGAGGGGCTAACCTGAACGCCGCCGACTCACACGCCAATACGCCGCTGCTGCGCGCTGCAGAGCTGGGCCACGCCAATGTATGCTCAATTCTGTTACGGCAGGGCGCGAGCATAAATCACCGCCGCCGTGATGGCAGCACGGCTTTGTTGATGGCGGTCCGCGGCGGCCGCGTGGGGGTGGTGCAGCTGCTGCTGGCGGCGGGCGCCAATCCGAACATCTCGGACAACGTCGGCGAGACGCCACTTATTGAGGTGTGGGGGGTAACGGAACAGAGCACCGGTGTGTTGTGGGTGTGCGTCGTGGCCTGTGGATGGCGCCCGAAGTGCATTTCAATGGCCGGAGGGTGCTGCTTTCGATGCTTTTCAATTCACCCCACAGGCGACAAGATTTATTTTAAGGATAATTAGAGGGACTAAAAGAACCTTTGGCCCACATCCCTCATTTGGCGTGAAAGTTTCAGTAACCAGAATGCTGCATGAATGTCTCTGCGGTGCAGTGCCGAAAGACGGCCGCACTTCACGGCCTGTGCGCAGAGGCCGGCCACTATTCTATCAGGCAGACAGAGGTTTGCCAACGTCCTTATTACAACTTTGGCTCACACTGCACGTGCAGTTACATGGTCACATTTCGTTTTCATACTGTTAAGTGATGTCTTCTTGGCGCATAGCGCGCTTTGACCAGCATAAGGCAACTGGACTTCTCTTCTGTCCGTAACTGTCGCCCGCAGGCCGCGACAGCGGGCGCACTGAACCTAGTGCAGACGCTGGTGGCTCACGGAGTAGACGTCCAAGCGTGCAACCACATCGGCGAGACGGCGTTGATGCGGGCTTCCGTGCACAGTGACCCGGCCATCGTGGATGAATTGATTGCCGTCGGGGCGCGGCTGGATGCGGCGGATCGAGAGCTAGGCTTCACGGCCCTGATGTATGCAGCCAGCCAGGTAACGCATGGGGAAGGTGCATGCAAGAGTCCGCGCGGTGTTGTGGAACGGACTTTATTAGTCGGCCGCTGCACGGAGGTATGGGTGGGGGCGCGACGCGGAAAGGAAGGAGATCCACAATGACCGGACAATAAGGCCCACAGATACCAATATGGGTTTTGAAACAGGGACAGCAAGAAGCGGGGTTAAGGGAACGAGGAGCACGGATGCGCGAGACGGCGGACTGGGAGAGAGCTGGTGTCGAGAAGGAGGGTATGCTGGACATGTCTGAAGGGCGCGAGCGCGCGCTTCGAGGTCGTGTCTGCCATGACGAGCCTCGCTCCGCCATTCCTTCCTTAAGCCACAATCGTCTCGTCGATCTCTTCCAATCCTGCCTGTGTTAGAGCGAAAGTGTGTGGGGGGGTGGGGGGTGGGGGGAAACGGTGCAGCTGGTCACCTGGCGTGTGCGCATAGAGAGACCAACATGTGCCACGTGGGCTTGGAGACTCTGAGCAGCTAACGTGCTGCTACTGCTATTATTACTGTGATGCCGTTGCTGCCACTACTGCCACTACTGCTGTTGTCGGCTTTTCGCAGGGGAGCGCGGCAGTAGTGGGGCGGTTGCTAGCCGCCGGCGCGGCAGTGGGCCATGCCAACAACATGGGCATCTCCGCGCTGCTGCTGGCGTCCCGCTCCGGTTACTTGGAAGTGGTCGACCGACTGCTGCAGGCGGGGGCCTCCATAGACCAGGCGGACTTGAAGGGGTGAGTTGGGCCAGCCGGGAGCTCGGAGGGGATGGGAGGGGACGCACCGGGGTGCGGCGCTGGGGGCATGTCCTGACTCTCGAGGCGTCACCCTTGCGACTGCTAGGGCCGGCATGTAGGCAATAGTCACCAGCGGCAATGAGGCCTACTTCTCGAGTTGCGGCCACTTGACTCGTGCTCCGCCATTTGGGTCCGCGCGCCAAAGCGCACGGGAAGTGTCGTTTGTGGATTACCGTTGCCCAGGCTTTTTTCCAATGACACCAAGGTGTTTAGCTATTCGCGGAGCGTAACCTGCAGATCCCCTCTATGCGTGCGTGCTGAAGCAAAGACGACGTGCCGTTTTTCTAGTTCTTGAACACCATGGCCCGCACCCGCACCTGCACCTGCACCCGGCCTGGTCCCTCCTGTGCAGCTACACTCCGCTCATGGTGGCCTGCGTGGGCGGCTACATGAGCGTCGTGTCGCATCTGCTTCGTGCGGGCGCCAACGTCAACCTGCGAAATTACGAGGGCTACACCGCACTCTCGGCGGCCATGGAATTCGGTCAGAAAGCCGTGGCGGAGCTGCTCGTACGGCATGGAGCTGACGCGTCCGCCATTACCGGCGGCGGCCAATCGGGCTACGGCGCCGTCAACGGCAACAGCTCGCTCAAGGCCGCTGCCGGGTCGATTCACCCCAGCAGTCAGGCAGGTCTAGCCAACAGCCTACACGGCGTCGGCAACAGTGGTCAAATGGCCCTGGACGGCCCGCCTGGCGGCGGCGGCGGCGGCGGCGGCGGTGGAGCCGGCGGCAGCGCAACGTCCGCGGGTCTGCGGCTCACGGCCCCTGACATGGCCGCGTCCGTGGCCAACCGCGCTGCTACCGCCAGCAGCCTTCAGATGCACCTGGACGGCCTTCCGAACAGTGTTCTCGCTACCAGCCTGCCCAGGGAAGGCAGCGGGGTGCCGGCCGTCAGCGGCACATTGGGGCCGCTTGTTAGCCACACCGCCAAGTTTATTCATGAGCTGGACGCGTACGACCTGCTACAGCGGCGAAACAGCAGGAACGCCGGTGGGAACGGGGGGGTCCCAGGACCGGTAGCGGGCGGGGCGGTTGGCACATTTGGGGGCTCGGGCGGCCTCGCGGCGTCGTCGCCTCATGGGACCCTGTCCAGTAGTGGCGGTCCAGGAAGCTTCGATGCGGGGTCTTCGGCCACGCGGTTGCAGTGCCCGCAGAAACAGATTTCCACATTGCAACAGCAGCAACCACAGCAGCAGCAGCAGCAGCAGCAACAGCTGGGCCATCCATCGCTAACCGTGGAGGAGCTCACCTCACAAATGTCCATTTCGTCCGACACTTCGAAGGAGGGCACCTCGCCGCAGGATAAGCTGCGCGCCACCGACGGAACGCCACCAGTGCTGAAAGGAGGTGCCAGTGGGCAGCAAGCAGCCAGTAGCTCACCGGGCAGCGCAGCTCCGAAACCGCTCTTCAGGAAGACCGCGAGCGGGCAGCCCGAGAACCTTATCGTACTCGACCCGGACGGCCCGTAAGTGGTGGTGGTCAGCCGGCGTGTGTGTGCGGGCCATTCGAGCGAGTGAGGGGGGGATGCAAGGGGTGCGTGAAATGGTTGGAATAAATAATTAATAACAAAAGAATGGTTAGGCGAGCAGGGCAGGGCAGGGCAGGGCAGGGCAGGGCAGGATGTGTCGGGGGGGATTACCGTTTGTGAGTTCAGGTACTATCACAGACAGACACCTGAGCCGTCCTCTACAGGGTTGGCGCTATGCTAGACAGAGCGGGGAGCCAGGGAAGGCGAGGTTAGCATAATCCAGGCTGGGATAGCGCGGGAAAAACATTCTCACTACGTTGTTATGAAAGCCAATCTGCTTGGAAATGCAACGGATGATGGGAGCTTTCAGGCTTCCCAATAAAAAAAGTGAATGAAGATAACTGCCTCACCAAAGTCGCAATTAGTTTTATTTTTCATGTATTCATATAATATTATAAATATATTTACATTTTGGTACTATAATATTATATTAATATTATATATTAATATAATATATAATATATTAACATTATATATTATATATTAATATCAATATTAATATATAATATTAATACTATTTTTTAGGAGAGCCTTGAAACCTATTAAAAAACCCATCACTACCCTTATTACAGCCCGCTACACGCAAGAATCTTAACTATTCATTTAGGAATTTTACACTTTAAGGCTTGGAGATTAAAAAACTGCACAAAGTTTTCCTAATCCTGCAAATACCAGTCGTAGACGTAGTGTTCTGCGTGGGCATGCGTTTGGGGTTTTAGGTTTTGCCCGTTATGAAAAGTCGCGTGACGCCGGCTGGTCGCGTGAAACAGGAGCTTCTCACCTTCAAAAAGTATTTTGACCGCCAGGATTTGCTGCGTCTGCCGCAAAGCGGCTTAACACTTCGCCCTCAGTAGACCAACATGACTTGCGTTGTTACAACCAGCCGGCATGGTTGGGCTGCTCGCTGGCTTCTGAGTTGCACTTTGGGAGAAGAGCGTACAACCTGACCCAGTTGGGTTCTTATCGACCTAACCTGCTAATGTCCTGACAATCCGGTCTACTCTACCGTTTTACCGACCACAGCGACTTGTTCGAGCCAGGCATGATCTACCGCAGCCCTTGGGCCAAGGTAGTCAGCTTCCGAGACCCGTGCGCCGATGACGTCATCTGGTACGAGCCCTCTGAGCCGGAGGACATGGACACAATGGTAAGAAGAGGAGACAACGGCGGTGGGGGCTGTGGTTGCTGCGTTAGCTAGCTATTTTGCTGGCTGCGGCTGTGAAGCCGCAGCTGGGCTGTAGAATAAGCATTCGGTGTGGTGGTGACTGCCACCGGTAACTTGCAGCGATTGTACTGGATCTCGATGTGCGGTGTTGCTCGCACCTTGCTGTGAGCGGCGGAGAAATTGAGCGGTTTGCGGAGTCGTTGCGGTCCGGCGTTGTTGCTTGATGCTTAGTAAACGCGTTGTTGTGGACTAGGCTGCGAAGATGGAGCAGGAAGCTTGTTTTTTGGGGTGTAAAATGACGGGCTTGGGCAGCCGTAACGGTGCAGCAGGGGGCCCCGGGTTCTTGCGGTCTGACGGTGTGTCAGCTGGTTATGCAGTTCGGGACGGTTGCGCAGGTTGTGATGGCTCACAATGCTTTGTTTGAAAAGGCGAATATGATGTCATGTGGGCTGTAGTATGTGTGTGATGTGCTCAGTTTCTGTGGTCATAAAATGTTGCGGTTGCCGTTGTTGGTGGGCTCATCGTTACGTGCTGTTGCAGTCCTACTGGCAACTAGCGCCGCTGTGCGGCAGCTGGTCAGCCAGTGGCGTGCTGGCTGGCAGATTCTGTAGGGTTGCCTGAGCCGTCCCGGCTGTAGATAGGACTGGTAGGGGCGGGAAGTGCGTGTTTGCAAAGCAGCAGCAGGTGTATTGCAATCGTCACGAAGGCCAGCAGACGGTGCGCGGAGCATCCAGTCAAGGATGCAGGATGGCGAATGTGGAACGTGCGGCACTACAGGTTCTTTTGTGACTTGCCGCGTCGCTACTATGAAACAACACTTTTCTACATGCCCCTATTATTTTAACTGTGCAGCGATGTACGTATGGACTATGTTTTGATATCGGGCTGGAATATACACATCCTAACTAGGCACAGTTTCTCTTGCACTACGAATTTGGATTGGGGGGCCAGTGTATACCAGAGTGTATGCACGCGCGGAGCACACCACCGTCTTCCCGCGCGCACTATTACCAGGCCACGGACGGTGCGGTGTTTGCTCAACACTTCGGCGGCTCCATCGGACTTTTATTTTAGGCTGGGCATGCACACATGCGCGACGAGAAATACACATATAGCAACCGGCACACGCGCTGGAGAGCTCTCGCTTTGAAGACTCTTAGCGACTTGACATCCTTTCGTCATCGCCTTAACGTGTGGAGCTTGGGATGCGTGGTTTTGCCTGGCTTGTAAGTCCCTTGCAGTTGGGTCTGCAGGGGTTAGGCTAGGTTTTTCTCTACGACTTCTTGTTGTGTCGTGTACTTGGTTGTTGCGCCTCCATTGAAAAGCTTCAGGAGATTAATGGGGGTGTCGAAGCACGCATATGGCCAGAAGCGAGATTGGTCTCTCGTATCATTCGTACAGAAGCGGGTTGGCGAGCGGTTGGAAGCACGAGCGCTTGAGCATGCTGCCAAGGAGAGCGGCGTCCTTGATGGGATAGATCTGGGAGTGTTAACGGCGAAAAAGTTACGGATGAGCCCGGCATTTCAATGCACGTTGGACCTTATGCGGTTAACGTATGCTAGCAACTTCTCCGCACATGCAATGCGTCACAAGTTCGCGTGGTGAAAGCTTTGGCACTTGCAACATGACATTTTGAGGACGGTATTGTGACCTGGCGACCTCATGCCACTGAGCAGGTAGAGGATGGGCCGCGTGCGAAAGTTGTTACCTTCCGTAATGCCTCAAAATTTCCTTTTCACTTGACCGGTACGCTTTGCAGTTGGCGTAAGGTTTCTGCGCAGGTCTATTTCTTTAATGGACAAAAATTAACGAACATAAGCTAACTAACACGGCCAACCGGTAAGCAAAGCCGGGTGTTTAAAGCGGAACCTCACGGCACACAATTGGTTGGGTTTTTTACTCTTCCCACATTCCTGGCCCAAGCATTCTTTGTTTCGACAAAGGTTTATTGGTTTGGATAAATTCTCGGCTGGGGCTGATACCTCGCATAGCCCACGGAAGAATAATTTGCAATCCTGATGAGGTCAAATTGTCCATAGCGAAGTAAGCTTTTGATTACCTGCTGTAAGGCAAGAACATTCGCTTGCAGAGTGTTAGACCTAGATCGGTCGCCGTCTCGTTGGAAAGCAACGAGTCGCCGTACAGGCGCATCCATCTTTTTACTGGGCTGAAACTATGACATCTAACTTGGTTGCAACGGACTACGATAACTCTTCCTGATAGTCAAACCTGCTCAACCCCCGAGGCTCTGGTTTACGTCTTTGTCCGTAAAGACATTAGGAGTGGAAGCCACCTACCGGCAGCCATGGGCTGCTTACTAGAGGCATGTCCACTGATTCAATCGGAGCTGCTACGGAGGGGAAAGGGCTGGATGCGCCTCGGTTTGACTATCGTGCTGGTGTTATTGCCTCTTTCATCAGCCACGACGGAAATGGTAAGCTATAGTACATAAGGCCGTCACTATAACGGAGCTGCTTTGAGCTTTTGGGAGCTGGGTGATGGGAAGCAAGGATGTGCTACAACCCCCAGTTGACGGACTCTGCAAGTTCGGTCGGAAGCACAATTCCATGGAATCAGCAGGCAGAAATTGTTGCGTAAACTGTATAGCACCTGCCGGTACACGCCGGCGGCCTGGCTTACGGAGCGCGTAACTTCACCGTGTCCATGGTGTGCTTGTATGCAGGAACTGCACCTGCAAGGGGTGGGACACCAACTCCATAATATACGGAACGGTCTTGGCTGGCACGATTGCAGCTGTGGAACGGTTTTGCGCCCCAAGCACTCCGAAGAGGTCGCGGACGTTGTCCTGGCGCTTTATCGCGATCAGCAAACGTCTGGCCAACGATACTTGGTCAGGGCGATTAACCAGGGTTTTGTCTCCCATAACAATCTGAGCTGCGCCTGCGCAAACAGCTCTGAAGACGTCCGTGCAGTCGTGATTGACATGTCAGCAATGGATAAGATACTGGAGTTCAATGACGAGCAGGAGACGGTAACGGTACAGGCGGGCATAACGTTTGAGGTGAGTTTCCATTTCATCCTTGGAGACGGCGTGGCTTGACACTGTATCAGGTCCCGGATTCCGTCCGCACGCACGTTGAACCCCTCCAAGCGGACGTGTTGCGGGCAGCGCATAGACGGTGGGCCCGACTGGGCCGTGCGGGCTCGTGGCTTGCTTCTTGCTGCTATCATGGCGGGACCTTATTATTCCCTGCGCCATGCACCCTGTAATGGCGCTGTACCCTCCAATAGGCATTGGAGCGAACGCTGCTGGAGTACGATATGAGCCTTCCCGGA